CCCCCCCCAAAAAATAAAAAAGTCTGTCTGATCAATTGCTGTCATTGAGTTATACATGGCCATGGGGAGGTCTTCATCAGCAGGAAAAGCTGTAATACCTATTAAAATACAAGTCTAATACAAGTTTAAAAGTCCCAAATTTATACCTCTTTCGCTGAAGCCAATCTGTGGGCAGGGTTTGAGTTTTTACCTGGCCAATGCTGGTCTCTGGGCCTTATGTTTGACACCCCTGCTCTAAGGACATAATTCTCACCGGCTTTCCTTTATAGGAGTATTGCACCACAGTTTGAGTTGAGTGAGTCATATAATTAGGACAAGCAAAACGCATGATGGGTCCATCCCTCACATCTATCCCTTTAATTTCTTTCTAGGAAATGAGCTCCAAAGCACCCCCTTCTGTGCAGAATATGTTATTGCAGCTTAACATTAGTCCAATGGAACACACTTTAGTTGTAGATAATCAATGCTAAATGCCTCAAGATTTCCCAAATTAGAATTAAAGACTTGGACACTGTTAAAGGGAATTTAGTCATGTTGTTTCTGCTTAAAGGAACCGGCACAATTGTTTTTGCATCATCACTCCGGTATCTTCTGACATGATCATCCATTCATCAACTCTTAATGCATGTTGCTTCTCATAAATGATTTCAGTGTAAATGTCTTTACCGTTTTGATTTTGCAGCATGCATGTTCGATGACGATGTTGAACACGAATTTGTTGTTGACGACAATCATTTAATGTCCTTAACATAGCATCTGAGCATGTTTCCCCACATTTCTGTTCCACTTTGAATGAGAGTGGCTGAATCATGACCATTTTGACTAACCATGTACCTCTACCTGTGTGTGTGTGTGTGTGTGTGTGTGTGTGTATGTGTGTGTGTCCTTCCGTCTGTCCGCTGCCCATGCTCCGTCCTCGGTTGTTGCTGTGTGCTCCGTTCACTCTGCATTCTGCCACCCGTACGCCGGTTTGCCTGTGCTGCTACTGTGTGTGCTGGCTGCAGTTCACCCAAATATGGCCTTATTGCCGACAGGTATCACTACTGTGAGAAGTGCTTCAATGAGATCCAGGGCAACAGTGTGACCCTGGGAGACGACCCGTCACAGCCACAGACGTAAGTTCCTTGGTCCCCGGATGTCTGAATATCACCCCGTGATCATCGTGGAACCATTTGCTTTCTGGCTCTTGTTCTCTGGAAGGGAATAAATAGTCACAGATTTAACATGAAGATCTCTCTTTTTGTGCAGGATGATATCTAAAGATCAGTTTGAAAAGAAGAAAAATGACACGTTGGACCCTGAGCCGTGAGTATTCTCTAGACAGTTTCATTTTGATGTGTGTGACTGCAGTGTTGCTTCTTTGCTGCTTTTTACCGAACAGAAAGAAAAAGCATGTTTTTGTCATCGTAGGTATATTGAATGTAAAGACTGTGGACGAAAGATGCATCAGATCTGTGTGCTGCACTACGACGTCATTTGGCCGTCAGGGTGAGTATAGCTTGACTGCTACGCTAGACAAATATCTTCAAGCACATAAAAGAAATGTTTGACCGTCATAGAATTTATATTTGTTAGTTGACACTAAAAATAATTAGATTCTCGTTTCAGTTTTATCTGTGACAACTGTCTGAAGAAGTCTGGTAAAGCAAGAAAGGAAAACAAGTTTTCAGCCAAGAGTAAGTTACATATACAAGTAAAACAACTTCTGACAAAGAATGTCAGTGTTTAAAACATGTCTTTGTGTGTTCGTTAAGGGTTGCAATCCACAAGGTTGGGTTCATACATTGAAGACAGAGTTAATAAGTACTTGAAAAGGCAGAACCACCCTGAAGCTGGTGAGGTGTTTGTGCGAGTAGTCGCCAGCTCTGACAAAACTGTGGAGGTTAAGCCTGGCATGAAGTCTAGGTAAGTGTCACACCTGCTTTACAGCGCTTATTTTTAATTGTTTTTCCTTTGGAGGGTCCAGATGCATAAAAGCATCTGATAAATCTTCAATAGCATTGTGTTTTCAATCTTTTCAATCACGCGGCTGATTCCACATTTATCTCAGCTAGAAACTGAACTGCATAATGCCTCAGAGAACAGTTTTTGTATTTTGCAGCTCATAGAGTAGAAGGACCGATGAGCTTGTTTCTCCTACAGTATTGGGCAGAATTTAATCAAACTTGGACACCATGGCATGATGACAGCAAACACCAAAATGATCACCATTTTGGGTTATTACCAAATATCCCAAAGGTTTTTTTATAGGGACTCATCACTCCAGCTGGACTATTGATCAGGATTTAATCAAATTTAGATACCATGATCCCGTAATTGATCACCAAAGGCATATTTTTCATTTTATGAGCAATAACCTGGATCGTTTGCTGAATGCACTGTGCCAGTGATGTGCTAGTTTTAGGAAAATGTGCTGGTCACAGCGCATTGTTGGATAGCCTTGGCTCAGAAGGTAGAGCATGTCATCTACCAATCGGAGGTTGCTGGTTGGCTGCTCCAGTCTGCATGCCAATGTACCCTTGGCCAAGATACTGAAGCCAGAGTTGCTGTCAGTGTGTTCATTGGAGTGTGGATGTTGGATAGAAAGCACTCAGACAAAGAAAAAAAGTGTGTGTTTGTGTGAATGGCTGAATGAGATGTCTCAAGTATAGTAGAAAAGCTCCATATATGACTAACTAGTCCATTTGCCTGTCCATTTGTGTATTTGATGCCTTGTGCAACGTCACAATGTCGATACATAATGCAATTTGTTCAGATATAAACAGAAATCTCCATGTTCATACTTTCATATCAAAGATCTGACTGTGGAAAGGGAATTGGTTCCGGAAAACATCCGAGTTATATTTAATCTTATGAAAATTGATTTACTTTTTTTTTTTTCTTCTTCTTTTCACAAATGACTTGAGTCTGTCTTTTAAATGCTGTTGTATCCATCCATTCAGTAATGCATTTTAAACTGCCTGTCCAGGTCTGAGCTGTCTGGGCCTCTCAAGCTAGCTGAGAGATACAATCCCTACAGCATGTGCTGGGTTTGTCATACCCGAAGCATCTCATCTAGGTGATACTCAGGAGGCATCCTAGCCAGATACTTCAACCATCTCAACTGCTTCCACTGGGCTTGAGTAGAGCCTTTATTCCTCCACACCAAAATGACCTCAGCCCAGACACTCTTCGAAGGAGGCTAATTTCCGCCACTTCCTATCACTACTCAGTTATTGCCAATAGGTGATTGTAGGAACATAGATTCACCAGTAAAGTGAAAGCTTTGCCTTTGTGCTCACCTTTAAACAGCATTTACATTACTGTAGATGCTGTGCTTATTTCTCAGTCTCCCACTCCACTCTTCCCTCACTCATGCACAAATCTTTGAGATATTTGCCCTCCTTTGCTTGAGGCAGGCACTTGTTACCAACCTGGAGTGGGAAATCCATCCTTTACTGGGTGGGAACCACGGCATCTGACTTGGAGGCGCTAATCCATGCCAGTTTGTAATGTGCTGCAAACATCCCCACTGGGAGCTGTAGCCCATAGCAGAGTGAAGCCAGCAGAGACATGTTAAGACCAATGAACATGACACCCTGTGCCATTTGGCTACGCCTAGAAATTCTGTTCATAATAGTAATGAACAGAATCGGAGGCAAAGGGCAGCCCTGGTGGAAAACAAGCCTACCTTATTGCCAGAAAGATGAACCCAATGACCCATAATCATGAAGCAACCCCTGAGGGGGCACAGTTGAATTGCTTCTTCAAGTCAGCAAAAGTATCTGTAGAGTAGTTGGGGGCAATACCCCACACACATTCATCTATCATCATAGAGGGCACAGAGCTGGTCCAGTGCTCTGCAACCAGGTTGAAAACCACATTACTCCTGTGAATGGAGGTGGACTTTTCTCCACAGGGGAAGGGAAGCTAAAAAGTGTGATTTCCTGTTGAAGTTGATACCTCTGGCTCCCCACGGCCTACAGTGCGGTCAGAGAACTGCTTTCACCTCCCGAGTTATCTGACTTGAGGTTGCTAGATTTTCTTCAAGACTTATGGGAATCTTGTTCCATGGCTCTATGTACCAAACCCCTCCCACACTCGAGTTGGCGTAGTTGGCGGCTAAGAACGCTGTCTTCTGCCAGTACCAGTCAGCTGCTTTCAGAGTTGCACAGTCTCGAAAGAATCCCTCCCTTTTGATTGAGAACTCCCTTCACTTATGTCCATCTTCTGCCAGAAGCCATCGTAGGCGGATACTGCGTCAGGCACCAACAACTTTATAATCACAGTTCTGTACATCTGCGTCAGCAATGGAGGTGTGGTACACGGTTCATTCAGACTACATGACCCCAGCTTCCCCAAGGATGGTGTTGACATGCCTCTGCCAGAAGCTCTAAGAGCACCCTGACTATACGTTGAGGTGTACTCGATCTGTCCATTGCTGCTGTTGCTTACACCTTCTCTGTTTCCACAGGTTTGTAGACTCAGGTGAGATGGTGGAAAGCTTCCCCTACAGAACCAAAGCACTTTTTGCATTTGAGGAAATAGACGGGGTGGACGTTTGTTTCTTCGGAATGCACGTCCAGGAGTACGGCTCAGAGTGCCCCTTTCCAAATACCAGGTAACATGAGCAAAATGTTAGAGGCATTGCTCTAAGTTTCCTTTTAGTTTGTGTGCATTATTCTCACATCACATATTCTGTATCTCTTTTTCAGACGGGTTTACATATCATACCTCGACAGTATTCACTTCTTCAGACCGCGTTTGCTAAGGACTGCAGTATACCATGAGATCTTAATAGGATACCTGGAGTATGTGAAAAAACTTGGGTGGGTAAAAAGTAACTTTATGCAGTGTTGCATTTTAACTCCTTTCAGTCATGTATTGATGCATGTTTAATTCTTCTAAGTGCTAAGTGAGTCATAACTTAATTCCTGACCAGGTATGTGACGGGTCACATTTGGGCCTGCCCACCCAGTGAAGGAGATGACTATATTTTCCACTGCCACCCTCCGGACCAGAAGATTCCCAAGCCCAAAAGGCTTCAAGAGTGGTACAGAAAAATGCTGGACAAGGCTTTTGCTGAAAGAATCATACATGATTACAAGGTCAGAAAATTATACCAGTAAAAATAACTTTGTAACCCCCCCCCATTTTTCATAAATCTAACTTCCAACTTGACCCAATTAGAAGCTCTTGTTGCCCAATTCCATGATAAGAGCCTTTGTGTGTCTGTGTTCAGGACATTTTCAAGCAGGCAACAGAAGACAGGCTGACCAGTGCCTACGAGCTGCCGTACTTTGAGGGTGACTTTTGGCCTAATGTACTGGAGGAGAGCATCAAGGAGCTGGAGCAGGAAGAGGAAGAAAGGAAAAAGGAGGAGAACACAGCCTCCTCTGAGACAACAGAGGTGAGTTTGATGGATACATGGATTCAGAATATTTTTATTAATGAAAGAAAGCCTCTTCTGATCCCAGAATCAACAGCCCAGTGTTTTAAGTCCTTTGTCTTGCCCCAGATTGTATCATTCTCAAGTACCCATTATATAAATGCTTTTGGCTTTCTGGCACTGTATAAACCACTCTGCTTAATTGCATAATCTCATCTTGCCTGTTGTGCAATCTCAACTTCTCTAAATGTCCATGTGTGTCTTTTTACAAGGGAGCCCAAGCTGACAGCAAGAATGCCAAAAAGAAGAATAACAAGAAAACCAACAAAAACAAGAGCAGCGTCAGTCGAGCCAATAAGAAAAAGCCTGGAATGCCAAATGTAGCCAATGATCTGTCCCAGAAGCTCTATGCCACAATGGAGAAACATAAGGAGGTGGGAAACCCAGCAACTATAACAGATTTCTTTTTTTTGTCTCTCCTAAATGAATAAAATTTCATTTCATGTAACATTTCAGTAACTTGACTCTTGTTTTAAAGCTTGGGGAAAAAATTCAGACAAAGCTGGTAGATTGTTGTGTGTGAAATTCTAAGTACAGAGCAGCGTCTCTCTTACTGTGCTGCTTCCTGAGGATAATTGAATTCCACATGAAAATTTTCTTCCACACAAGAGTTATGGAATTTGTCACATTGCACTACACTTCAGCAATGCCTATAGCTAACAGTGTTGCTTCCCCTCCTGCCACCAGGTATTTTTTGTTATCCACCTCCATGCTGGGCCAGTCATTAACACCTTGCCACCCATCATGGACCCTGACCCTCTGCTGACTTGTGACCTGATGGATGGACGTGATGCGTTTCTGACCTTGGCCAGGGACAAGCACTGGGAGTTCAGCTCACTGAGAAGGTGTAAATGGAGCACAATGTGCATGCTGGTGGAGCTGCACAACCAAGGCCAGGACCGCTTTGTGTACACTTGCAATGAGTGCAAGCACCATGTCGAGACTCGCTGGCACTGCACAGTTTGTGAGGTAAGATACAGTTGTGATCATTGACCGTGTTTTAAAAGCAACATCTGCATCGGTTTTGAATTAACACCTAGTTTACATTTTTAACTAAGGTTAATGTCGTCTCTCTCCCCTCTCATCAGGACTATGACCTATGCATTAACTGCTACCACACTAAAGGCCATGATCACCAAATGGTGAAGTGGGGTCTGGGCTTGGATGATGACAGCAATGGTCAAGGTGGAGAGGCCTCCAAGAGCCCTCAGGAGAGTCGACGCCTTAGTATCCAGCGCTGTATCCAGTCCCTGGTGCACGCCTGCCAGTGCCGCAATGCCAACTGCTCTTTGCCGTCCTGCCAGAAGATGAAGAGGGTGGTTCAGCACACCAAAGGTTGCAAGCGCAAGACCAATGGTGGCTGTCCTGTGTGCAAGCAGCTCATCGCTTTATGTTGCTATCATGCCAAGCACTGTCAGGAGAACAAGTGTCCCGTGCCCTTCTGTCTCAACATCAAACACAAGCTTCGACAACAGCAGCTGCAGCACAGGCTTCAGCAGGCTCAAATGATGCGTCGCAGAATGGCCACCATGGCTGGAAGGGGTATGCCTATGCCATCTCCACCTACCTTAAATGCCCCAGACACTCCAAATTCTGTGCAGCAGCCTAATACACCCCAGACTCCCCAGCCCATGTCCAACCAGCCCCAACAACAGCAACCATCAAACCCCACCAATATGTCCCAAGGCTTTCCCAGCAACGGCCGCAGCAGTCAGCCTCCAACACCAGTGCCGCAAGGTAAACCGGGGCCTCAGTCATCCCCTCTCCATCAGCAGCAGTCACCCATGCCCAACATGCCGCACCAACAGCAGCCTCCACAGCCTCGCCAGCAGCAGCAACCGCAGGAGTCATTGATGGAAGCCCTGAAGGTGGCCAGACAGATCGAGATGTTAGCTAAGTCAAAGCAGCCGCAGCAGCAACAGCAGCAGCAGCAGAAGCAGCAGAATTATGCAATGAATGGGATGCCAATGAACCACCCACGCATGATGGGGCCCATGCCAAGCCAAATGCAGATGATGCAGGGGCCACGTGGGCCCCAGGTGATGCAGCAGGGCCAGTGGGGTCCGGGGATGCAGAATCCCCAGGGTCATCAGCCACAGGTTCCTCCTCAACAAGGCCCCATGCCCCCTCAGCAGCCTCAGGGAAACCCAATGCCCCAGCAAGGTCAGCCCATGCAGAGGCCCATGATGCCCCAGCAAGGTCACCAGATGTCTGGGGTCATGCCTACACAGGGATCCTCACAGCAGGGCATGACACCACAGCGACAAAACATGCCCCGAGGTATGCCGGGTAACATTGCTCCAAGTGCCCTGCGGGAGCTATTGGACACCCTGAAATCACCCAGCTCCCCACAGCAGCAACAGCAGGTCCTGAGCATCCTCAAGTCTAACCCCCACCTCATGGCTGCCTTCATTAAACAGAGGACGGCAAAATACCAAGCCAACCAACCACAGCAACAGCAGCAGGCCCAACAGCAGAACCCTCAGGCCATGCTAGGATCCCAGCCAGGAATGCACACAATGGTGGGCATGGCAAACCAGGTGCAAAGGCCAGGAATGGCACCTCAACAGCAGCCTCCTCAGCAGGTGGGACCCCAGGGAATGCCATCCATGGGCACCCAAGGTCAGATGGTACCAAACGGAAATCAAATGTTCCGCAGACAGCAAATTCTTAGGCAGCAGCAGTTGCAACAGCAGCAGC